CTGGAAGCACTGCAATACCAGGTCAATGCATGGAGTGGATGGAGCAAGCCCCAGTTCCACCACCCAACACCCAAAAAAAACCAAACCTGCTCAATATAGACCTCCTATGGAAGACATATTAGAGACAGTCACCTGCCCTGGGGAGCCTGCCTACGTGGTCATGGTGCTTCCCCTGCCAGGTACACATACTATTAGTCCAAAGCCAAAAAACTCATCTTGATGGTCATAGTGCTTTTCCCTGCCAGGCCAGCATGTTGTGATTCCTGAGCTGAAGGGTCCCTTTGCCTTTAGACTTCCATGAAGTCATAGCGAGCACTGACCCCTGAGTTACATTTATTCAACTTTCTTTTACAGCATCAGTCCCCTTATGAACTTTACAACTTTAGAAGGGGAGGCCAGTGCATAAACACCTGTCTTCACTGGCCTCTTACATTCAGAATAACACATTTTTAACCGCTTTTATCGCAGTTAAAACAAGCACAGAAGAGTTCTTTACTCGCTCACCCATGCATACCAATAGAGGACATGCAGATAAAAGAGACAGTCCCTGTAATCTGACCTTGCATGCCAGTGCCGGTATGCAAATAAGTACCGCAGAATTGTCACCCAGCAGCTTGCCATGTTTTTTTTAGATCTCTAATAACTTCTCTACTCTAGATTCTCTTCAGTTTGTCATGTTTTCCTCGAAGTATTGTAACCAAAACTGGACAGAGTACTCTAGTGAGGCCTCAACAGTTCTGAATAGGGCAGAATAATCACTTCCCCAATATGAAAGAGCAATGTCATGGCTCTCAATGACTTGGAAAAAGAAGCAGGTAGTGAGGGGGAGTGCCCTTAATGGGCACTAGTATATGTTGGCCTTTCAGTTAGGAGCAAGCAAGGCAACATTTTTTTTACCTTTTGTCCAAGAGCAGCTTACTTGGCTTCTGCTTGGCCTTTTGACTAAGATCAAGGGGAGATGCCATGATCGCCAGGCCAAACCAGGATTACAGTGAATGGCGTTGTGTGTTTAAAGGTGAAAACCTGTTCAGTGTACTGTGGGCAACCCCCCCTCTATGAGAGTCTATAGCCTACCAATGGGAGGGTCTCAGCTACATGCTTTATTTTTTATGAAGATGTGGGATTTCTCCCTAACTTGTTCCTTTGGCCTTTTGGCTAAGGGCAAGCGAGATTCGGGGGGGAGGGTGTGCGTATCTGAACTCAAAGGCCTCTGTGCTAGAGGCCTCCATGTAGGATTTCTGCCATGGATTTGGGAGTATCTGAAGCCCCAGGCTGAAGAATCTGGGAGATAGGATATTTGCTAGTGGTAGCACCACACAGACTTGAATGATTGAGCTCCGTTTAGTCGATAGAATTCGGAACCAATTTAGCTGATTTGACCTGAGAGACAAAATTAAAAAGAGAAAAAAATGGCTTTTGACCCAGGTGGTTTTATGTGCTTTTTAGCCTTGAATGACTTGGTGTAGTTAGAGGGTGAAGGCCTGTCCCTTGCACTCCAGACAGGCCAACCCCTGTGAGAGTCTACAAATATCAGGGTCTCAGCCACACAATTTATGGTGATGGGAGACTGCTCTCAGGCTTTCACTCTGGTTTGTACCTCCAGCCTTTTGCCTGGGAGCAAGTGAGCTTAGGGGGCATCTGAATTCCAAGGCCTCTGGGTTTGGGGCTTGTGTGTGGGATGCCTCCCATAGATGTGGGGAATATCTGCAGCCCCAGGCTGAAGTCTGGGAGGTAGGATACTTGCCAGTGGTAGCACTGCACAGACTTGAATGATTGAACTCTGTTCAGCAGATGGAATTTGGAACTGATTTGGCCCAAGAGTCAAAATTAAAGAAAAAAAATCAGACTCCAAGGCAGGGGTGATACCATCTTGGCCTTGAATTACTCGAGTGTAGTTAGAGGATGAAGGCTTGTTCCTTGCATTGTGGGCAGGCTGACTCCTGCAAGTATCTACAAATGCCAAAAACTGAGAGGATCTTGGCTATACACCTTATGGTGATGGGGGACTGTTTTCAGGCTTACCCCCTAGCTTGCTCCTTCAGCTTTTTGGCTAGGGCCAAGTGAGACTAGGGGACACTTACTCCAGGGCCATTGGGTTTGGGGCTTGCACATAGAATGCCTGCCATGGATCTGGAGTATCTGAAGCCCCAGACTGATGAGTCTTAGACATATGACACTTGCCAGTGGTAGCTCACACAGACTTGAACTATTGAACTTGGAACTTAATTTGGAACTGTTTTGGCCTTGGAAACAAAATTCTATTAAAAAAAAAAAAGTAGGATACCTGCCAGAAACAAAAAGGGTTCCCATTCACATATTTGTCCAATGTAGGCCATGTGTTTTATAGCCATGCTCAGTGTTGGCTGCATTTAATCAACTTTGTAGTTGGTTTCCATTGCTAAGCACATGCTGCTTTTGGCAGCAGTTTAACGATAGGCCATGTATTTAGTGAGATTTCCTTCTCTGTGATTATAAGATGAGGGGCTTTTTTCTCCATGCCAACTGGGGAAAAATCTTGTCTTCGAACTGAGTAAATATGGTATAATTGCAACATTTTTTGTCTTTTTTTTTAGAAGCTTATGACAGTTGTTCTGTTCTCTTTGTCAGTGTCTCACTATGACTTGCTAAACAAAGTAGATTATCTAGCAATATGTGAGAGCAGGATGCCGTTTACAAGGTCATATTGTCCATAATGTCAGCTGCTATCATTTAAATATTCATGTTTAAAATATCAAATGCAGAAATATGCAAATAAGTAGAGTTGATGATAAATGAAATCCTCCATAACTTAGAATGAACGGTTCATCTGTTTCTGATACGTGCATGCTTGGTATCTCAAAAAGAGCTGGCAATCTGTGACTAGATATTTGAGGCAATGCACCCAAAAATGGAAAAAAAAAACCAGAGAGGAAGCATAAGGGTGATTAATAAGATCATACTATTAGTCTGACGTGCATGCTGAATGTTCTGTTAGCTTCTTCCTGCCTCTTCTATAAGTTTCAAGGCAGCAAGAGTCTTGGAAGGGATTTGAATAAGTTATGAAGGATGAATCCACATAGGTGTGCAGAGTGCTTTCCAGTCTCAAAAGAAAGCATTTCCTGTACAGTATGTTCACATGATCTTTCTTCTCTCCAGAATGCCTAAATCAAAGGAACTTGTGTCTTCAAGCTCATCTGCAAGTGATTCAGATAGTGAAGTTGACAAAAAGGTGAATATTTATTACTTTAGTAACTAAAACAGCAAAAAAATTACTTGCGTTTGGATGAGGATGCCAGAGTGTATTCTGTCAAAACGTGCATATCTTACTAGTATGTCATATCAAACTTCTTAAAAACCAGAATCAATGATTGATAGGTAAGATGCTTCTAGTTATAGAATGAAGTTTTCTTTTATATTTTTGTTTAAAGCTTGATTGCTTCCTGTTCCCATTAGTACTTAGTGTTTCACTTATGGCATGTAGCCGAAGGGTTCTTGGAATTCAGACGTTTGTAGCAAGCATAAGAACACTAAACTTATCTCCACTGTTAGCTCTGGAGTCCCTGGCAGATATTCAGACAAATTTATAACACTCATCGTTGTGATATGCAAGCTTGAGAACAAAGGTTTTCTGTCTTTTTTGTTTTTTGTTTCCTCCTCTCCATTTCCTGGCCTAGTTTTTGAATTTGTCTGCGCATCTACTTTCACTCTTCACCAGTCCCAGACTTGCTATAGATCTATCTGTTAGCTTTATTAGGGTAGGAAACTCCTTCAGACTTAAGCTACATGGATAAGCATATTTTAAATGCCTAGTTTAATTTTTTTTAATCATTCATATCCCCTTTTATACATGTTCACATAGGAAGTCGTGGCATGTGAGCAGTGAACATATCATTTCCATGTAACAAAACAGTGAGAAACATGCAATAAGATGATCATATTCCTAGCACCTTCTTACCACTGAGATTCTTCTCGCCATCAAGGATGTGTTTCTTGTGACTTTAATAACTGAGTTAAACTATTAAGTCTGTTCATATTTATCCTACAGTCAGCTCTGTTAAATAATAATGGGCAGCTACTGCATTTTTCAGGCAAACATCATTAAAATACTGGTTAAAAATAAACTACTATCTATGTATCTGCTAGATGTTTGATTTGGGTATGTACTGGATATCCCCCCTGCCCCCAAATTACCCCATTTAATGACTCAACCAGTACAATGATATAAATAAAATCTCCCTATTTCATCACAATTTTTCCTGTGTCTATCACTATTTTGTGGCAGTTCATACTGCCACTCTACCCCACAGCTGTGGCACGACCGTCTCCCTGCATGAGTACGTTGGAGCCAGACCATACCCCCTTCCCTCCCCAGGGCAGATTTGGGGCCATGCTGCACTCCCTTTCTTCCCCCTGTGGGGCTGGGCTGCACCATTTATCCTTTCTTCCACTTGGCCAGGTGTGGGCTGGGCTATGCTCTCTTTTTCCCTCAGGGCCAAGCCTGGGTGGCTTGTTTAGGGCTGGACCATAGCAACTCCCCACCAGCTCATTTATGACCTCTTCCCCACTTTGGGGCCAGGTGGGAGTTGGACCAAGCCCCCTTCCATCATGTGGCTGGAATGGGGCAGGCTACCCCCACCTCTGCATGGCTGGATGGGGCCCTGGTGTGTCTGGCCTGCGGAGGGATCAGGCACTGCCCATCTGGCCTGCCAGCTGAAAAGGTTGAGCATTACTGTCTAGCCAAATTTCTCCCTTTCCCAACCCCTCATTCTTCACTGCAAATTGTCTGCCAATATTTAATTTCCTAATTGACCAAAAGCCACAGCTGCTCTTAAAGTTGTTTTACAAAGAAGGCTAACTTTACTGGGGCAAGGCCAGTGGATAAAATGCTGCGGGTAGGATCTTGTTAAATTTCTTGTATTGCCTAATTCTGCTCCCACTGGAATTGGTGAAAGTTATTACGGTTAATTTCAATGTGAACACAAGTAGGCCTGTGTTAGGACAGTGGTGAAACTCCTAGACCAAGTGCATGGTATTGAAGAATCCAGTAGTTGTAGGCAAATGGATTGCATAATAGTTCCTTTTGGTCTATAACTTTACTGTTTCAAAAACTAACAGGATGAGATGTTCTTTGTATTACTGTTGGTTGTTTTTTTTTTTT